TACCCGACTTCCACCAATAAGCATCTAGTTCCGAGTCATTAGCTGCTGATGTAGAATAGCCATTGATGATAGTGATGGTTTTCTGATACGGAGAAGGAGTTGAAGGATAGCTAGGCGTGATGTGTATACAGCAAATCCAACACTTCCGTAATGGAACTTTAGCGTGTCATCATTCAGTTACCTAACGTCCATCTTCCCGGACTTCGTTTCCTGCAAAGTATGGTGGTGTGGCTTCGGGGCTTCAAGAAGGGCATGAAGGTCGGCGTTTGGTGGAGAGCATTCTGGCGGTATAGGTGCAGCATGAGACATTCCCACGACGAATCGTTGGCGTGTTCCGCTCCGATATCGGCGTTTTGTGCACCTAACATTGGTCGATGACATCTGATGCCTGATCATTCAGTGTATATTGCCTTTTCTTCTTTTACATGCTGAGCAGGCTATGAGGTCTCCCAAAACTAGCAGCCTTGCCAGGGCATGCTAAGCTTCCACTAAAGGAAATTGCTAATTGATCTAGTGGAACAGGAACCACCTAGCGCCTGAATCCTGACGGTGGCGCTTCTGGTAAGGCCTAATCTCAGCTTGGCATCAGCCGAAAACTTCGAACTCCTTCTCAGCCTAGGACCTTACTGATAAACCACCGCTGTACTTCTCAGTTCGGCACCCAGAGTCACTCCGCGCCAGGATGAGGCGGTAGATCATCAGGAGTTGTATGATTGAGGGATTTCGGCGGATGTTCCATAAGTGTTGTGCAGGTCTGGACTGATAAGTAGTTTAATGTCGCAGAATAAAATGAAGGTACGCCTTGAGATTCTATAGGTCTCACTAAGAGGCATTTAGAATGTGCTATCATCTGTAAAATCATCACTAAGTACTTTGTTCCAAAAAGTAGGGTTTTTTTTGTGAAGGTGTCCAATATAGCGGGACAACCGAATAAATAGGAATTGGTCTTCTAGCTTTTACGAATATATTGATGAGTGGCTATACACGAAATCATTCGAATGACGAGACAAGCCAAAAAATTATCAAGCAATGCAAAATCGAGTCCCCTTTCATAGAGTTTGCGCTATAGCGTTCTGCATCAAAATGAAATATGCTACACTTTTGTGCTAAGAAACCCCTTCCGAGCTTACTTGGTTTTGGTCACACGTTTCAAAGCTTAGAAAAAGCGCCACATTGAGGATTTTGTATGGTATTTAAAACACATTGTATAGATAGGAATCGGATTTATGCATCATCAAGGACTTTGAAAACTCTTCGCG